TATTTCAAATTCAGCTTTCACGTACCGGCACATGAAATTTTCAGTGGCACTTTCCTTAGCCAGACAGCACATCGACTATTTTTCCACAAAAAGAAATCCCCACGATTTCGAGCGGAGCAGGTCAGCAGAGCTTCCCGCCTTCCAGTAATTCTTTATCTGGCACAAGCACAACACCTACCTTGTGATGCCGATGTGCTGCTGTGCTCGTTCCATCCGTTGTACCAGTTATTCTGCGTATTATCGCTATTCATCCAGTACTGTGACATCCTCTGCAACTGCCACAAAACGGTGCTGTGCTATCTGCCACTGCGTTTAAAATGTCACGTAAAAGTGGCAAGAATATGAGATGACGAGGAAATCCCGAATAATTCCAGGCAAGCTTCTAGCCCCCCGACCAGTCCGCTTTAAAAATAACCTGCACAACAAGTGGTGCTTAAGAAGCGAGAAAACCCAAAATGCCCCTGCGTGAAGCACCATGCCACGCCAGGGGTTCCCCCCTTTTCTGTGCTGCTCAGAACAGGCTGCAGTGTCCCCAACTCCAGCGCTCACCCAGTACCGTAACCATCTGGGGCCGATTCGGCATCTTCCATCCACGCAAAACGAGAAATGACAACGCCGACAGACAGCCATTTTCACAGGACGCGTTCCTCGAGACTGCCGAGGCACACTACTACATCTCAGCTGGGCCGGCTTAATGGGGAAGGAGCAGGGGTCACTGGCTGGAAAGGAGCTAGAAGCTTGGCTGCAGCATGGCCTCAGGAGGAGCGAGGGGGTATGCCCCTGTGGGGTTAGCAGCCGCATAAAAATCCAAATGTTCAGCTGGATGGAAAGCGTGCCGCTGCAGATTGCCATCGTTCTGGATGCGCGCTGGGCCCAATGGTGCGCCGGACGCTTCACTGACCCCCTCAAGCAATTATCAACAGAGCGAAGCACATACTTGCCCTAACGCACCTCGCCTTCTCTGGTAAGCATCAAAGTACCCGCTAGCTCTGGTGTGAGTTGCGAAAAGCATAGTCATAGACGACAAGTGCCATTTTACAGTATTTACTAAAACACGGCTCGGCTGGCACAATACACAAATTGGAAAAATTTTTATGCGTTTTTTGCAGCAATGCAATGCGAACAAAGGCTGGAACGCACCAGGCGAGCCGGT